GAGCTTTGGGGGATTCAGTCTTACGGTACGGTTGTACGGTTTTTGGTTCTTGCTCTAATTATATAAAAAAAATCAATTAGATAATATTCTGCGTAATAAGCAGAAATATAGCGTATGGAACAAACCGGGAAGAGCTAAGAATTTAGTTTATATATAGTGTTAGTAAAACCTTACTATAATAGTACTTATAAGCAACGTCTGGAGAAAAAAAGGTGTTTGGGGCGAAACGATCGATTCTTTCTACAGCAAATGTACAAAAATCATTGAAAAACAGTACGATCATTCTGTGTCCCATATTATTTTAACATTGTGCCGAATAACCTCTTACAGTTGCAGTCACTGCGAGAGGTGAAAAATGGCTGAGAGAGTGGTACTGTAATTTTGAGTTTGAAATTGCTCTACGGGCTTTGCACGTTGTATTTTTTTTGTTTTTTAGTGAAAGTGTAATTATTTTTTATAATTCTTCTGCTGGTTGTCGCGTCCCACGTACAAGCACCCCTGTGCTTTTGCGGGCCCGCGCGATGTGTTGTCTTTTTCATGGAGCAAATAAATTATATTATTATTATTATTGTTATATAATATTAATTTATCAAGGAGTGATATTTGTACTTTTGTGCCGTGCCTGTGCTGTTCATCGTGAAGGGCTGTTGCGCTCAGTAACCGCCCACTATTCTAGTTTCCGAGATAAAACTACGTAAGGCAAACAGGGCCCCCTTTTGTAGAAGTTGGGTAGGCGAAATAGCAGCTTCTCTAGCGACTCTAGATACAAAAGGGCGGTCGTCAAGTGCCATGAGCCATGAATTGAGCTCTTTACAGGCACTTTTTCGAATCTCGAGCATTCTACAGTAAGAGATGAGTTTCATCTTCGACCGATGGCTGGGCCGTACATTTGAGTCGGTTGCGACCAGAGCAACCAAAAGGAGATCAACGACCGGAGCACCGGGACAACCCGGGCTCATGTGGCCATTAGAGCCTGATCCAGGCTCGAATTTCCACATGCACAGTTTAGAGAATCTGCACGACGAAGTCGGTGTAAGAAGCAAGCGACGTTGAGACGAAGCCTGTGCTGTACAGTGTTTCTACGCTGCGTGTGAGACAAATGGGCACGCAGAATATTATATATGAGGGTCGACTTCGTAAAGAATGGGTCGTTCATAGTATTCGTCAAACCACGTAGAATTACACATTGTATATACCACAGTGCTTAATATCTCGCGAGTGTCTCCACGGGAAAGAGAAACACTTTGATGGTATTTCCCGTCCAGGTGTGCCTTCTTGGCGAGGCAATCTGCTGCTTTATTGCCCGAAAGGCCAGAGTGCCCTGGAACCCGCTGAAGTGCAATGCTGTAGCTTACGCCGTTGTTGCTTTTACAGTTCATGGATTGTATGCATGCCAGAGACACATGAAAGCCACTGAAAAAAAAACAAAAAAACATGTTTCCTTATCGTGCTCGCCTGCCGAATAAATTGTAATGCTGACGGTATAGTATCGAGCTTAGCTGCCATGGAGATATGATCGATGTGATAATACTAGAAAGGAGCGAGGTGTGTCTAAAGATGGCATAACAAATGCAAAATCTGATCCATGACCATCGGTAGGTCCGTTTAAGTACACTCGAGGGAAACTGTGAAACTGGTTGCATACGTGGAAAAGATCCAATTATACCACCGCCATACTGCTCATCTAGCTTTTCTTCTCCATTCTGTATCGTCGTCCCTATATTAGGCGTCGTCAACGTCCGGGAGCAGGTGAGACTACTGTTTCCTATTGAGTAAAACTTGGTTGGTGGCGTTGACGTTCTAAAAGAACGTTATGTATTCTTGCACATGTAGTGCTCATTAGGTTAAAAAATAAATTGGGATGAGGGTATGTTTATACAGCCTCAACTTAGTCTGTCTCGACGGGCGACTTGTCTCTCAGCTGTAGATTTGCAATTTAGCCAGTACAGTGCAACCGCTATCCTGGGGTCTTTAAAGTGTACCACGCAGTAGTGATACACGACAGCACGCCGGTACTATGCTCATCCAAATCGAAACGGGTAGAGGTTGGAAACTTATAAGATTATGCTCATAAGATTACGTTGTGTTTAAACGAAAAAACAAATGCGGGCAGGTTTTTATATACTGCACTGGTATACCTTGGCTGTATAATATCGTGCTAAAATTAGTTTTTAATGTGAAAACTGTGTGTAATCTAACGTGTATTATGACCCCTTTATTGTACATTGTACAGTATAGACTCAACGTACTCGCGTTTGAATGTACCAATTCATATATGCCAAATAGCATAACAAATCCTAATGTAAATAGTGTGCTTTTATACTTTGGAGTATATTCCAGGGTGTTCTGTACAGTGCCTGGTGTTAGGTGACAACTGTAAACTCTCAATTGATTCAACACTAACTATGCTAAAGTTGAAAATAGTAACCGGCACCGCTACAGCGGCAGCGATGTCTCTTTTTTTTTCCCTCTTTTCTTTTCTATTAAACGAAGAAATAAATGGTGCATTCGTAATGCATGTAGTCCTAAAGAGGAGAAGTACGAAAGTCCTATACCTTGTCTCACCTAAGGCCGATCGCAGCAGACGCTACTGTCCAATCTGGTCAATCAAGCAACGCCTAAAATGCAGCATCATGACGTTCGTTGTCTTTGTGTACGTGTGCCATCCTCGACTAAACGAATCCTGCGAAATTATTGTACCATGTCTTTGCTTTTTGTTCTTAGTGTGTGTCACAATGTTTTCATATCTTCTAGCCTTTTGACTGTATTGTGACATAGTGAAACCAAGTACAGTGCATCCTTAGCAAGTTTTCGCGAGGCTGTCTTATGGCTGCATGGGCTGCCGGCAGTATTCGCAACTTTCAACGACGGCGCAACCGCAGTGTGAGAATCGCGATCCCTAGCTTCTGGATGAGTGGCTTTAAAATTAACGTGCTAGCTTACACCTTCCGTGACGTGGAAGCATTACGTAAGATTCTTGTATTACTCAGATTTCACGAAATTAGAAGTACTATAGTACTAACGCGTCACAGACCGAACCTCGTACTTCTGTTCTACGACGATCATCCAGATGACAGTCATCTTGGTAGAAACTAGTGCGCCCTTTATAGGGTTGTGAAAGCGGCTAATATCGTGGACGACCATAATGACGTTTTTACACTTGAGGATTCGCGGCCGGAACCACACAAGCGGAGAGTGGATTTCGGAGCCGGAAGGGCGAAATCGACTCGTCGCTGGTGGAAAATCTGAATCAGCTCGGGGCCCATGTCCTGATTTCCTGCCTGCGACGAGTGGATTTTGCCCACCCGCTGCTCCAAAATCCACTTTCCGCCTGGGCGGATCCGCCCCCGACTACGCAAGTGTAAACGCGCCAGCAGTCGTGAGGAAACACTTACCTTTCGGATGAACTCTTTCTTGGGGACTCTCAAGACAGCAGGGTTGGAGACAGCGAAGGATATGGGGCATGACTGACTGGACCATGAAACTACCGAAACAGCAGCGTTCAGTGGCAGATTGATTCCCATAATGTATTTCGAGGTATCACACCGCTAAGAGCGCTCTGGCGAGGAAAAGGTATTTCGTATTGTAAGCGCGTTATATATTCTCCAAAAATAACTCGAGCATGTAGAAAAAATATTTTGTTGTGGTTCCCTGTGCATTCCTAAACATCAGCTGATGTGCAATCCCATGTAACCTTATATACTTACGAACACGTTGCATGGCCACCTTAACTAATCACTCTATTTAGCTGGTTTGCTTTCCCGGCGAACTGTACGATAAAAGGTGCATGTCTGACGATGGGACAAGAAATAGATGAACTCTTAGCAGTCCGTAAGTATTGGACCTTCATTGTGACCCCTTAGCGAAAGAATTTCGGCTAAGCTTATTTTGTGCGGCAAAATATTGGTAATATGCTATCAGTAAGTTATTTGACCATACATATATACAAAACAAAGAGGTCGCTCAGTTAATTAACCAGATCCTGTGCTTTGAAGTGTCTGACGATGCCACTGCCGTCCTTGCGTTTCGTCGGACTTTCGAACTTTGCTTACGGCAAGCCGAATTATCTCTACTGCACGATGCACGTGCTCATGCATGCGAGCTGCTGCATCATGAGTAGAACAAAATAAGAATGAAAACAAAACGTCTATGGTGTTTACAGAATGAATACGAATTTATTTAATGCAAATATTACAAATATTTTACAGCAGAATGTTCAGCCTTTGCTTTCTTACATGTTGAATATTTGTAACTTGCGTTCAACTTAGAAGCTGCATTTTCCTTAAATTAATTTTCAATACTTATGCGTTGAGTGATTTGTTTTGTGGCGCTTTTTTAAAGCAAATATTTTCAATTAAATTAAGGTAACGAGGAACCAATAGTAATTTCTTATCCCGTATTTATAAAAAAAAAATCTTTTTTTTTTTACAGTAAAATACAGTCAAAGAGACAGAACGAAAAGCACTAGCGGTAAAATTTTGTTCGCCTTAATGTCCCAGCTTATTGACTAAACTTATGTCTCCCCAGATAAATACGAAAAGCTGGTGACACATTCGCAATCAAATTTATTTTAATCTACCTTTGTTTTTCTCTGCCCCATCCGACAGAAACCTTGTAGGTGCTGAGGCGCGCGAAATGTACATAACAGGCTATAAACGCGAATCATTCAACAGTTTATTTGTATACTACAGCAGGTTCTTTCTTTTATTTAGTTGATTACGACAGTCCTCCCGCCTAGGGGATCGTCCAGGGATGAGATACTCGTGGCAGTCTGCAGAGTGCAGGTGCTGAATGCAAGACGAAACACCGAGTTATCTTCTGGTGGTGAGTTTCACTCGCGTTCTCTCTCACTTTACAACAACAAAAAAATTACCATGGCGAACGCCGACCAGGTTGGCTCTGTTGCCTCACTTCGTGCGAACCGAGCACGCGAAAGGCTTCCTGGCGGACCGAGCAGGAACACTCGGGGGTTTCAGTTCGCAGCCAGGTTAACCTTTCTTTTTTTTTTTTCTTTGGCTCCGACGTAGCGGTGACGTCGGACACGAGTGTCTACGAACACCGGTCTACTAACACGAAGAACGCCAACTAATTATCTGTGCAAAAAGCCACGAGCACCTACATCCCACGCTCATGTTTCTCAAAAGAAACGAGAAAAAAAAATAAAAAAGGAATGGAGCAGGGAGAGGATGCTAATAATGGTAAAGAAACAGGATGGTACCTATACATATGTTGAGTGTGCCAGAGACATGCCCCCCCCCCCCCCCCAACACACACACACACAAACAAAACAAGGAAACAGAAAGAAAGAAGAGTTACACGACGCGGAAGACACTGGTCAGTGGAGAAGCGGCCGCAGCGTTCGTTCCGTGCTCCGGCCCGCAAATGTGCGTGGAGGACTAGTACACAGTTCTTGCTAGAGGCTCGCGTCGCTGTCATGGCACTTTTGTCGCGTGGTGACCATGGCTCGTGGAATGCGGGCCCAACGCTTCGATGGGAAGTCTGCAATTTCCCGGATTGGACTGTCCGTGATTGTCACTTTTGCCACGCCGTTCATTTTGTGTGTGTGTGCCCCGGTTCGGGTAGTTAGTGCGATTTTTCGTACGCGTATTTGGTTTGAAAAAGGATGCTTTCAGAGTCATCTTCTTTTTTTTCTTTTTTTTGTCAGCACTCGGTTTGTCTTTTGTCTTCTTTCTACGGACCGTGCAGTCCTCGTCCCACTTAACGCGGTCTCTCGGCCACTTGCTGTTGACGAAATCTCACTATGGTTAAACGTGCACATACCAGGGCAGTATGAAAAACGCATCTCTAGGAACTCCCGCGGGCTGCTTCTCAGCATGCCGCGAAAGACTAACTTCCTTCTGTTTCGTCTTGCCTTCTATTCGCACTAGTGTAGGAACGATGTCACCCAAATCGGGATCGAGTTTCTTGCAAAAGCAGGACGAGGGCTGCGCTCTTTCGACGCAAAAGAAAAAAAGAAAACACCGGTCGGTTTTCTTTAGCGTCCCGTCGAACGCTCGCACCCACAGCCCGAGTCCCAAGATCGGCACACAACAACACACACCCAGCCGCTGGTCCACGGCGTCGTTATTGCATGTGGTCCCCGCCCGCCTCGTCCTTAAGGCCGGGAACAGAGCCCCTCGCCAGTGGGAGACGCCGGTGGCCGCGATGGCTGGGTGGCTTAATGCCCGTTGTCCGAGATCATAGCGCGGTGGTCCGTCGGCAGTGCGGAGACTCAGCAGAGTGGCGAAGTGAGCGAGGGGTTGCCCAGGTACGCTGCCGCCGAGCTTCGGTCGCCCGCGCCGGCGTGGAGGGCGTTAGCTGCCACTTCCGATGCCCACGGCTGGAGCGACTGGAGCGCGTGGAGCGAGGCGTTGCTCATGCAGAGCGAGTCCCTGGCGCCCTCGTAGATGGACTTGCTCACCACCTCAGCCTGGAGTGACATCATGAGTCTGTTGGCGGCGTGGCGTTCGGCTTCGCGCTCTTCGGCCGTCTGTCTCCTGCGAAACGAGAAAGGCAACGGGGGGGTGCATTTGAGGACCCATCGGAGACGCAGCAACTCTTTTTCTAATGCATCCTCCGATTGGAGGAAAGGTATTAAGAACTAAGATGAGTCGACACCACCTAGAATAATCAAAACCTCCGCATCGCCTCCTCCCCTTCATGAAACGTCATCCCATTCGGATCCCGAGTCCGACCTTTGACGCGCTGATTGAACACGAGTCCAACCGAACACTGATGCAGCACTCGTGCCCAACCTTAGGCCTCGGTCGATCTGATTGTGATGACGGTAAGGAGGCCTCGGCTGATCTAGATGGCGTTGGGTGAGTGCACTGGAAGCAACAGTAGGGAATTCGTTTTTGTCTCCATATTGGAGCAATTCGCTTAATTAGTTCCTGTTCAGAAGTCTTCCTGGCACCTAATTTCAAAACGGTATCGTGAATAACGAAAACGTATCGACTAGAATAAACCTTCGTCTACCTATTTTTTTATGCACAAGAACCGAACAATGTAAATTATTGTTTTCCATTAAAAGGTGAGTGCGAGTGTGTAACATTGGAAAAGAAAAAGAAACGAATCATTTCGTAAATTTGCCGTCGATTTCGTTTGAGATATTTGTCTCCATCGTACGTGATGTTGGTCGTCAGTATACGCGGTATTAAAGATAAAAATAAAATAACCTTTCAGTCAGTGCACACAAAGCAGCCAAGTTAAGCATGGTCAAGGCGATAGTAAATAGCGCTACTTTCATAAGTCTTAACAGTTAAGAATGTAAAAACAAACACGTGTAGGTTATGCAACGCCTAATAAACACTTGATCACCGATATTTTTCTTCTTTATTTTTTTTTTGTCTCACAATTGGCGTGCTTTATCTAAATGTATTATAATGGTAGAATATGCTTATGTCGTTAAAATTCAATGTTCGATACTGTCCTCTACTAAAAACATTAGAAAGAGCTCTGCCTTCGCGTTCGCGAAGTGTCGCAAATTGTCGCGCAGACGACCGCTCCGACCACACTCCGACTTTAACAAGCAGACATTGGGGACTTTTAGCAAACCGTTAGCGTGTTCCGCGTACCGCACTACCCGAGCCTCTGAAACATGTTTTGAAGCACGCACTCCGTGGTCACGGTACCACCCGGGCGCGTGCTTAAAAGTACATGCTTCAAAGGCTCCGGTAGTCCGGTACGCGGAACACGGCAATTAACGGTTTGCTAAAAGTCCCTATTATGAACTCTTCGTACATCGTATGCTACGGATTCCGGGTCGTCCGTGCGCGTGCTCCCTCTGTGCTCAAAGTGACGGCATGAGCTGCCGTTAGTGACGCACAGCTCTTGAGCACGATCTATGAAAAACCCGTAGTAACAGCGCAGGATCGGCTGAGCTGACCACATGTCCACCTCAAGAGTTAATTTTGTGTCGCGCTGGGGGAGGCGGGGGCGTGAGCATCTCCCTAAAGCTGCACAGCTCCTGCAAGCAAACGCCTTTGCGAGTTTGTCGACTGACAGTACGTATAAACGTTGGAATTAAAACACTCATATCTGTCATCCTTCCCATCTGCCCTCTTTTTTCTTTTCTTTTTTTTTCCGCTCTCGGCCCGCGTTATTAGCCTTTCAGAGTTCTAACTTCTAACCATCCCCGTCCCTTTTCTCCCGGTCTTCCATCACCCTCAGGTTTCTCTGGACACAGTATGGCCTCCTTTACGTTTCCTTTCGAAAATCCCAACACGTTCCTCTTGCTTTTTTTGTTTTTCTTTCGCTTTACGTTTGGTGCAGTTCCTACGACCCTCGTCAGTGTCCAGGAAACTAAACGGTTGGCGCGCTTTATTTGGCGCGCCCGCGAGCGCCCTCCCACGTGGGCGCTCGTATACACAGCCGTGACGTGTCGGACACCTATCGGCGATTGCGGGCTGAGCGTTGTTTTTGCTGCGCTTTCCGAGGCAGTTTAAAGTTTGATTGATGCCGAGCGGCCGACCGGTTCCCCGGCGGCGGCGCCGGCGGCTCTCGCCCGCTCTCGCCCCAGCTCTTGTCTCGCCTGTCAGGCTGCGCTCTCAACGCACGCCTCGAGACGACGCCACCGACAGCGCGCTTTTGCGGCGACTCATAGAGCCACCTGTACCTGCGCATTAGGCTTTCTGCAGAACAGAAAGGAAGCCCCCTCAGAGTGGTCATTAGGGAACGGAAAAAGACGCTTTGCCAAGCGGTCCCCACACACACACACACACGGATGCGCTCTGTCCTCTGTAAGTGCCGCTTGCGTGGAGCGAAATTGAAACGCGCCTTGTTGCGGTGCGGAGACCTCGCGCGCACACTTAGCCCTGGAATGCCGGGAAAGACATAAAGAGGCAGCCTTTGATCAAAGAGGTTCCTTTGTACAGGTGTATGAGCGTGCGTGGACGAGGAAGCATTCCTATCACGTTGTTATCGAGGCCTATCCGTTCGTTTTAAAAAATAAAAACAATCGAAAATGGCATATCCCTTCTCTATACGAATAAAACGTGGAAATGTCGGCCCCGAGACTGGTGTGATCGGCTGTCCCGTTATTTCTCGAGAAATGAATGGTGCTTTCTAGTAGGTTTCTTGTATTGTAGTTTAGCGTGGAGCAACGGCCGTCAAACAACCTTATGAAAAGCTTACTCCGGCTTAACACAACAGGGCAATTCTGTACCGAAGATGCCCCCGGGATAAGCAATGTCTTTTTTTTATGTGTGTGTGTGTGTGTGTGCGTGTCTGTGTGCGTGCGTGCGTGCGTGCGCGCGCGCGCGCGCGCGCGCGTGTGTGTGTGTGTGTGTGTGTGTGTGTTTGTGTTAGGCACGAGAAAACTTCCTTTTGTGACGTACTTTAGTTTTTGGAATATTTTTTTTTTTTTTGCAGCAAACATTGCTATACTAGCTTTTTGTTCTATTTTTTTTTTTTTTTTTTCTATTTGCAAGTTTGGAGTGGCAGGGCGTGGCTGCCGAAAATATAAAACTACAACTAAAAAAGGGACCCTGGTGAATGAAAACAAAAATGTATTGTTCACGTGTTGGAAATGGAGACTTGTACCGTAGCCGTGACTTCTGCTATGCTACACTTTGTAGTTATTTCGTTATTCGCATGTTTCTACTCTGAGTAACGTGCTTAAACCTTGCTCGTATTAAAATTACCTAAATGCGTTTCTTTTCTTTTTTTTTTTTTTGTATTTCTGATTGTTTGGATCACACTTTCTAACATTTGATGATCAGAGTTAGCGATTAAAACTTAAATCCCCAGTATATTTGCTCATTTTGAGAAACGTCCTCTCACGAAGTAACAATTGGGAATGACCAAAATTTGGCGTCTGAAGCGTTTTGGGTCGCATGCACCGAAGTCATTCGTGTGTAGACCTAAAATAAAATGGCAAATAGAAACCATCTGATGCGGAACGGAGTAGTCGAAAAAGGAACACTAACATCAAATTACGTTTTAGATTAATTTCGAAGTCTGAATGGTAGTCAATTAAAAAAAAATAGACACAGGTTGAGCGTTAGTAATTGTAAGTGTAATGGATTACTTTTTATATTTAATTATCCCGACTCGCTCGCCATTAACTGCCACAATTTATTCAGTTGTTAATTATCGCTGCCAAAGTTCGTCCATTTCTTTTCTTTTCTCGGAGAGGATAATTATACGTGGGGTTTCATAAACTATTAATAATATAGATATTCAGGTGGCAAAATATCGATGACAAAACAATTAAACTACTTCATCTATGTTCCTGTTGTATCTTGAATCTTGAACTGCTTTTAGTTCAGGTGCTTTCAGTATTTACAACGGGGTGCTGCCTGAAATGGGTAACATATAGGTGGTATTCACTGGACGCCATATTGGAGGTAACTGCTCACAGCGCATCCTCGGGAGAAGTTTCCCGTCAGCTCTCGTGCAATCACAAGAAAAGGAAAGAAGGAGAAACTCGCTTCACCCCGGGACTTCCCTTGTATGTCCCAGGCTTCCCCAGACGTCGCTATTCTCCCTGTAGAAGATTATAAAAGATTAACTTTCACCCAAAATTCGTACAAAAGCCGTTTTCTTCTCTCTTTCTCTCACTTCCCCGGTGCTTCGAAAGCAGCAGCGAGCACAGCTATGACCGCCAGTGAATACACCCTATAAGGAAAGCGGGCTAATATGACACTGTGTACGATTTACTTCGCAGAAAGTAACAAAAGAAGACTTACGGGGGTATTTGTTTTATGTGCGAACTAAATACTCTATCCCATTTTGCCTAACATTCACCAGGGCCGGTTTTTAACAGCTCCCATCTTACGAAACGGTCAAGGGCCCATGACCATTTTGACCCTGGAGGGAACATTGGTCACGCTAACGATGTCTGCAAGCAGAACACAAACGCTCGAAGGACAGAGAAGGACGATCTCGCCTGAACTCTACGCCGAGATAAATATAGTTCAGAGCACTCCTCCAACTTCAAATGAGCTTCAATGAGAACAGCGCTTCCATGCGCTTCGAGCGATCTTGGTGGGCGAAAATTGAGTCAAACAAAACAACTGTCATCGCTACGGTACTCTTCCGAGAGAGAGAGAGGCAAGACACCAGTTTCCACTCGGGGTGTGCCCATAAGACACTCGCCGATAACGCCCAACCAAGAAGCTCAGCAAAAGAAAGCGAGCACCGCGGGCACAGTGCCGGTCCGAACGTCGACGGTGCGGCCCGCCGCGCTGCGCGGAGTCAAGCGGTAGGCTCTTAAATCGCGAGATTCCATCAACCGTTCTCGAACGGCGGTCCAAGGGCGCCAGTGCGGTGCAGCGACGGCCTTCCCGAGGAGCAGCGCGGAGTCGAAATCCGGGTACTTTTTCGTCGGTTCTTTACGACGGTGTCATCGTAGCGTCAGAGGCAGGGAGTTGGCGCCGCGGCCTGCTCCTGCCGTCGATAAGGCCCCGGGAAGCGGACGCGCCCGCGCTCTCCGGGCACATGCTCCTTTTATCGGCGGCCATCGGAACAATTCGCTTTCGGTTCAGGCGCGCGC